AGTGGTATGGTCCAGATCCAGGCATGTGGGGCAGGTTGCAAGTTGCCCAGACACAGATATAAGGTCCCTTAAAGCAGTCTCCTGCCTGTACAAAATATTGCTGACCCCTGGTGTAACGTCATTAACTGAAAATGTTATCTGTAAGCTGAGAGGACTGTCTTGTACCTAAGGCATAACAAAGAAAACTGGGTTCTAGGCCGACGTGTACCATAGACTTGATCATTTAAGTGCTTTGGCCTGTTACTCATTCCATAAAATAAAAATAATACCTACATAAAAATCTCAAAGAAGCACAGTGAGACACTGCAATGGGCAAATTACATGAGATACTGCTGTGCAGTCATTACTGCACATTTATTTAGTACCTGTATTAGCAAGTACTAAATAAAAGTGCAGTAACCAGAGCTATTGCACAGTAGTGCCCATGAATGTCTTTTAGGTGATGCTATTACATAATAGCCTAATAGTTACAGTGCAGGAGTGTATTAGCACTGTTTGTGCTGTGATGCGCTACTGTGCAGTAGTTTTTAGCCACTGCACAGTCAAAATTTTAAGTAGATATGCCCAGCATATATTTGTGAGTAATATTTAGGTACTTTAGTAGTTGATTAAGGGCTTTTATACACCTGTTTCCTTCAGCCTTAGTTGAGTGAAATACGTTTTAAAGTAGGGACCAACCGGTTAGTTATATAATCCAGGTGGTAGAAAAGAAGAGGTTTCAGAGGTTGCAATTACACTCATTTCCCTTCTACTGCTGGTGAAAGTATCTGTTACCAATACAAACTGCTTTATTTTTTCAAGTTCTCATTTGTTTCTCTCTCCTATAGTGTCCAGCCACTTAATAGTTTCATAGTTGGTAGGGTCAGAAGGGACCTGATCAAGTCCAACCCCCTGCCATGGCAGGAAAGAATGCTGGGGTCAAATAACCCCAGCAAGGTGATTGTCTAGCCTCCTTTTGAAGACCCCCAGGGTAGGATTGAGCACCACTCCCCTTGGAAGTTGGTTCCAGATCCTAGCTGCCCTGACTGTGAAGTAGTCCTGATATCTAGCCTGAATCTACTCTCAGTCCACTTATGGCCGTTATTCCTTTTTACTCCCAGTAGCGCTCGGGGGAACAGGGACTTTCCCATTGCCTGCTGGTCTCCCTTGGCCAGTTTATAGAAAGCCACCAGATCCCCTCGCAACCTACTCTTGCAGAGGCTGAACAGGTTCAGGTCTCCTAGCCTCTCCTCGTAGGGCCTGCCCTGCTGCCCCCTGATCACGCAAGTGGCCCTCCTCTGGACCCTCTCCATATTGTCCACATCCCTC